ATACCTTCAGTCTCAATGCGCGAAATTGAACTTCGCGCTCTTGTTATATAAATAACTATTTTGAGTGGGAGCCGCTTCTGGTAGAAAAAAATTTGTTAAACTTTCACTTACAAATCTAGTAACTGTAACACTGTCAGTCTTACCGAGTTCTTTTGAATTAAATAGGACTTACAAGGTTCCCCACAATTTAAAACTCCAATGATTAAATTTGCAATATATCGCCCGCAGCTATCGATAGTCTCATCAACAGAAAAATATATGTAATTATTGCCAATTATATCCCTATTTGAACTCGTAGTTTTGGTGTAAATTTTATCCACATATTTTTTTCTTAACGTAGTTTGATCGGGTACATGTTTATTGGTGTATTTTCTAAGAACAGTTCAAAACTCGGATTTGATAACTTTGAAGAGGTATGTTAGCGCTGATTAATGTATCACATAAATCAAAATTGAATTCTTCTTAAAGATTCAGCTTCGATGAGGTAGCAAAAGTTTGACGTAGAGGTAATTGAAGTGTCGTTTTTTTCTGTTGGCTTGATGCGAAGCCGTTTTTGTTTGGCGAGTCACTTGAAATTTTTTATCAGATGCAATCTGTATCAATGAAACCATACTTAGTTTGTTTTTAACATTTCCGGGGTTGGTATTATAATGCTCACCACTTTACTGCAGGATTTACAAAAAATATCATTGTTGTTTAAACAAAGTTCCGGAAAATCCTTTATCCATAAATTAACTAAAGATGTCTTTCGGCATTTTAACTTGCACCTAATTTGACACTAATTGAACCCTTTGATAAGAACTAGAAGGAAAATGCGATTAAGTAGGTACTGCTTCGTAAAACTCCAAAGAAAAACTAATAATTACGGCAGCGACTGCAATGCAGGCGTAAAAACTGCAAGCCTTTTATGCAATCGTCGGAATTTATGACTCACTAAGATAATCTTGTCTAAAATACCTCCCAGAGTTTGTGTACTTTAAGTTTAAAGACTTGCAAGCTACACAAAACCCGTGGCGTCGACTTATGAACAAGAAAAGCGCAAAAGTTTCTTGCTTTGCAATTTTATAAATAGGCCAGAGACAAAAATTCTTTAGAAATAACTACACAGGGATCAAAAATGCTTGAATATGCTCTTGATAATATTTTATGCATAAGGGCACTGATATGTGCAAAAATTAATTGGGTTATTTCAACTCTATTCAAGTTGATCAGCGCAGATCCAAAAGCACACACATGGCATATTATTAATTTAAAACATGCATTTGCATAAAATCACTGCCTTGGTCATAAATTTTCCTTATGTCGTTAAAGGACATTTTCTTACCCCTTATATCATAATTACCAGTAGAGTAAATTATTGCGGATGCTTTTCATTATGTGTGCAATGTCGTAAACCACAAAAAATTTTTGTGCTTGAAGTATGAAGTATGGCTGTTCCTTGGTTACTCCTAATAACTTTAACGTCGCAACGTTACTTGATGCTTGATCACAAACAATCGCGATTGTCTGTAAATTGCAACTTTTTACATTTGTTAAAACTTGCTTCATTAAGTGTTGCAATTCATTAGCATTTGGGCCCGTACTGGACAGAAAATAACAAAAAGGCAACTTCCACTTTGAGTAAACTCCACGTAACATAAATACTAACGCACATTTATATATTTTTCCGTCCACCCGGCCCCAAATCCTCATAACCTTCAATCATATCAAACTTTTTCGAATATTCCAAAATCTTCATAATTGACATTTCATCAAAACATAACACGCATTTTCTTAAAGTGACCATTCGTCCGTCATTAGGACGGATTGTCCGTTTTTTAAACTTATCGTCCGACATTATAGTATGTCCGGCAAAATGTCCTGCATTTAAGGGATCAAAGAAAAAATAATATAGCTTCACAAAACAAAAGGAAAAGAACAACTTTCATTTTTCGCGGAATCTAAAGCTGCGTCCAGATTACGCGCGCCGAACTGCGCAAAACGTTTGCGAGCGTTGCAGAAATGTTTTGCGCACACTGTCTTGTCTCTGGTTTGTGTGTGTGCTTGGCTATGTTTGCTAGGGTTCCCAATTGAACGGGTGAATATTTTTGAGTGACCATGGATGATGATGTGCAAATCTCTGCAGCAGCTTTTATTATTCTTTGCGACGCTATAAAGAAAAAGCAACGCAAGAGAAGACGCTATTGGATGACGAATTTATTTAAAAGTCGCAATATTTATAGTGGCAGCAACCTGTTGAACGATTTATCATTGTCACGCACTGGACAGTTCAAAAATTTTTGCCGTATATCTTGTGAAGATTTTGAATATCTGATACATCTAATTGGGCATAAAATAGCGAAGCAAGAAACTACATTCAGACAACCCATTCCTGTTAAAGAGAGACTGGCAGTTACTCTACGATTCCTGGCAACTGGGGATTCATACACAAGTTTGATGTACCTGTTCAAAATTTCTAAACAGAGCATATCTACCATAGTGACTGAAGTGTGCCAAGCTTTGTGTGACGCATTGAAAGACTACGTAAAGGTAAGAAATATTGCATTTATTCGTAGTGTTATCCATAAAAGGTGTGTGTGTGTGTGCATCACAACAAAATTTGTAAACGAGAATATTTGTAATCACTGCTTAAGGCGCGAATGTATTGTAATAATGTTGTACAGCACCCCATGAATCCTGAGATTGTGAGTTTGGACTTGGTTGAGGGGTGTCTTGGGAAAATGGATCCTGATACTGTTCATTGAATAAAAGGTGATCGGCGGCCCCAATATTTCCGGAACTATGTGAAGAGGAAGGTGTAGATGCCGAGGATCTTGTATTGGATCCACTACCATTATCGTATCTTCCAATTACAGCGTCAAATATAACGTTATTAATCTTGTGTATTGTAACAGCTCGGGTGCGTTCATCCATTTTTTGTAGCTGTGTTGTTATGTATTGACCAAAAGTATGACACTCGTCTTTTGGAGTGGTTGAGACCTTCTTAAGCAGATCGTATGCAGCAGACACTTTAGGATCTTCTTGTACACATTTTCGTTTCGGAAGTATTTTCTTGGGAGATACAAAAATTTTACGTTTTGCTGTTGGGATTTGAGGACTTGTCCCAACGGAAACTACACTACCCGATTCGATTTCATCATTTGCTACAACTGATTGAGGTTCTCTGTCTACACATTGCGATTCTGAATTGTTGAAAGTTTCATCAGTAGTGCTTTCTTCGTCCTAGAAAAATATTTTATTAAATGGCGTGTGTAGAATAGTATAGGTAGTGCAATTTTTATGGATTTCACTGCTTGTGTACTCATAGACCATAGTACTGAATTTACAGTGTATTTCACATTTTCAGATGCCATCTACTATAGAAGAGTGGACACAAACTTCCAAAATTTTCGAAGACGTGTGGCATTTCCCTCATTGCCTAGCGGCGTTAGATGGGAAACATATTATGTTACAAGCACCCATACAGAGTGGAAGCGAATATTACAACTATAAATCATTTCACAGTATAGTACTACTTGCTTTGGTAGATGGTCAATACAATTTTCTTTTTTGTGACGTTGGTGGTCAGGGTCGCATTTCGGATGGGGGAATTTTTAAAAATAGTTTATTATGGAGAAAAATCGAAAAGAGAGAACTTCCCATTCCGGAACCACGGATTCTTCCTGGCCGACAGAAACGGATTCCTTATGTGTTTGTTGCTGACGATGCTTTTGCCTTGCATGACAACATTATGAAGCCTTATTCAGGTTTACATGACAAAGGTACACCAGAAAGAATTTTCAATTATCGCTTGTCACGAGCACGAAGAATTGTCGAAAACGCGTTTGGCATATTGTCCGCTGTTTTTAGGGTTTTGAGAAAACCACTATTACTGGAGCCTGAGAAGGCACGGCTTGTTGTTTTAACCACTCTTTACTTGCATAATTTTTTAAGAAGCGGAAACTCAAATCAAATATATACTCCGCCTGGAACATTTGATAGCGAAGAGGATGGTTTATTAATAGAAGGAACATGGCGACGTGACGGTAATCCTGAAAATTCATTCTTGCCTATCAGAAGACTACCGCGAAAATCTCCTCTAAATGCACAACAAATTCGGAACGAACTAGCGGAGTATTTTTCGTCGAATGGTGCTGTATCATTTCAAGATAAATATGCTTAGGTAAATGCTACTATGTAAGTAGGCTGGAAATAAATATAATCTGAACTTACCGTTTCTGTATTTATTGAGCCCTTTACACTGTCCTTATCCCACAAAAATTTAAAGGCTTCGAAAGCAAACCATTTGCTTATATATATTTCGTTTCTACCTGCATATGTATACACAATTAGCTAAAATGGACATCAAAAGAAAATCAAAATACTACCTTTCCCCGTGCCTGTAGAATTCTTCATTTTGGCCTTTTCTCTTCTCATCGATGACAGCAACGATGCTACTTTCGCCTTTATTACTTCAACGTCGCTTTCCATTTCTGTTGCTATGTTCTTCCAAGCATCATGTTTTTTATTTCGTAAATGGTAATTACTGTTTTTCACGTCCCACAATTCTGATTTTGTTTCATACATGTTAATTAATTGCAGTGTTTTCTCCCGACTCCATTCAATTTCACTCATTGTGTTGCAGGAATGCGCACAACTACGTCCAAACTTCACTTAACTTTAAACGCGCGCTTAGCCGAATTTCTTTGATGTACCGACACTTGCCCGAACAAATTCGTGCATGCACGCAGTGGCGCGTTCGTGCGCATATACCCGTCCACATTACATGTTGCTGCAACGCTCGCAAACGTTTTGCGCAGTTCGGCGCGCGTAATCTGGACGCAGCTTAA